GGATAATCGCTAAAACCTCTCCTGAGCTTTTGGGCCATTGCCAAATCCTCCCTTGAACTTTGGTAATTGCAATCACCTCCTTTGAACTTTATGAAATAGTTGCAAGTAGACCCCCTCTGTTAGAATCCTCTAAAAAGAGAAATGAAAATGTCCAAAATAACCATGTTGTTACTAGTGAGGTTGGTTTCTATAGAAAAATAATGCAAACTTTATGAAAATAAAATAGAGAATTTATAATTGTAGCTTTATCTTTGAGTTATTGATATGAAGGGAAAATTTGGAAAGAAAATCAATTTAAAAAAAAAAAAAGTAAGATTATAAGGATTTTGAGTAGTGACTCATGTGTAGAGAAAACTTGGAAATAAACATTTTGATCAAATTAATTGCATAGGTGTTTTGGACATTTTCATGCCTCGAGATCTACTAACATCTATGCTAGAAAGTTCAGGGGAGGTGATTTCAATTACCAAACTTCGGGAGGTTTCAAGAACCACAAGAAACTACTTCAATTTTCATGGGAGGTTTCAGCAATTTATCCTATATAATATTAAAGAGGTGCCTAATATTTTCTACAAATTTTCTTTATTCTCTATTTTTTTGTATTTCTGAATTTTTATTTTTTAATTATGGCATCATGGGTTGGCTCATTTAACCCAAAATAGTCTAACTTCTTACCACCACGTAGACAAAAATATAGTTTTGTTTCTAGGTCAAAATAAAAAAAAATCCATTTATATACTATAAAACAATTATGTGTGTTAGACAGTTTATGCCCTTAGCTCCAATCAGATTGATGCACAAATACATTTTTTGTAAATGAATAAAAGTACATATTTGTTTCATGTTATCGTTGGTATGTTTTTGTGTAATTACCACTTAAACTAGACACTTATGAGATTCGTGTTAGTTTAGAATGTTTTCAACCATTTGATAGACTTGGGGAGTTTATCCTGCCAAGGCTGACACTAATGTGTTGCTAAAGAAGTTGGGGCAGTTTGTCTCAGTTGCTAGGGTTAGACCTGAAGTACATGTAGTGTATGTTTGTTTGAAGCACTGAACCGGATCATTTTCCAGTTATGCCCTAGACCTTGGAGACTGATGGAAAAAACTGGAAAGTTACACATAACCCCTGGACTTGATTATGATACTGCACTGGGTGTCGGATCGGGTTGTCTTTGATATGCCAATCAGTGAGATCCTTTGGGGGTCAAAACCTAGGTATGTTGGGACAGTCTGAGAATTCACTCGAGTGGGTGATTATAGTGATAGGATCAACCCCTTTGTCGGACAAAGTGAATGATTGAGACTGCACTCTCTCTGATGGAAACCAAAACTTTCAGCAGCTTATTCAACCATGTTTGAGATTTGTTTTGCAAAATATATTTATATGATAATATATATTATGTTTTAAGAAAAAAGTGTTTGCAAAAATGTTTTAATTCTCGAGACCCATCTGAGCAGAGAGTGCAACACTGCACCTTGCAGCTAGGGGAGAGGTCATTCCCTGTCGGGCAGTGTTTAATCATTATAGGCTGAGAGGTTAAGTGTAAAAGACCATTAAGGGTTATTTACCTAATGGGATATATCTTACTTAAGTTCATTATCCTTGGGCCTTCATAGGATGGTTATACTTAGGGATCATTTAATTGTAAATGTTGAGCCCATTAAGAGCCCATACTGATGGACTCAGGGGTTCATTGCATTTAGCAGTGAATTCAGCCAGGCTTTTTTATAGAGGTTGGGCCAAACCCATGTGGGCTTATGTAAGATCATTGTTTGGGTCCCACCCCATACAAGTTGAACCTAAATGGACCAGCAACTACCTAGGGACATGAGCCTCTTGTTTAATGGGCCTAAAGCCCATGATTAATGAGATTAATCAAGTGGTCGCATGACTGCTTAAGCTGTCATGTAACTTTGGTAATATGGGTTTGGAGCACCCATCCTCTTATCCACTAATAGAGTCCAGATCCAAATAAAGATTTGGATTAGGAACCTCCTAATTCGATTAGGAGTGATGCTCCTTAAGACTTAATAAAAAGAGAGATCGAACTGCTCCAATTATGACTTTGCTTTTAGTTCTCTCTCTGCTCTTGCCGCCCCAAAAACCCTAATTCAATCTCCCCTTCTTGTGATTGATCTTGATTAGTTTGATCTTTGATTTTTGAAATAAAACATTAAAGAAAAACCGTGCTCACCTCTCCATTTTGATCCAAGGTGTTGGATTGCAGTTTTGCTGAAAAATGCGTTGTTGAACCAGGTTCACTCTAAGCTGCGCCATATTCAGTGGAAGCTAGTTTTTGGATTCAATTTGGGCGTGAACTACCACTTTGGGAGATACTTCTCCCTCTTGTTTGGTTCAAATCTGGTTTGGTTTCGGTGCAATAACGATCCTTGAAAAATGTAGTTTTTCTAAAAACAGAGAATATGATTCCCGGAAGGTTGAAAGAATTTTTTTAAAATTTCACGTAGCCATCTTGCATGGTTCGACCATCCATATGATGGATTTCACCTTTCTTTAATGTATGGATTTAATTAGTGAAATTTAGTGATGAAAAATAAAAATGCCTTAAATGTATGGTTTAATGTGGGGGAATGGGAGTTAATACCTTAAATGTGTGACTTAAAGAGAGGGAATTAGATGAACTAATTAATAGTATTTGAGTTACATTTTATAGTAATATTTATTTATATTTATTTTGATGGATTTGATAATTGTCTAGGCCCTATTTGTTTCTTGGTATTTAGCCTAGGGTAAGTTGATAAATTAATAAATTGATCACAAATTCTTGCATTCATTTGTCGTTATATTGGGTCCCATAATAATCGGAGATTTTGGAAAGTATCAGTTACTTGAGTAACTAATACCTTCCTACAAGGTGTGGGTAAGCAATTTACCCGCATGTCGATAATGCTCTCTCCCTCCCACTTCTCTCTTTACCCGAATAGCTTGTATTGAACAAGACACGGGAACTTCACTTACCTAGTTAGGCAAGTTTTACCTAAGAAAACACTTGTTCGAGTAAATGTACTTACCTAGGTAAGTAAAAATGAATAGGGCTTTGGTATAGACTTTGTGAGTTCGGGTGCATATGGAAAGTCTATTAACATTATTTGGACAAAAATCATGAAAGCCTAGGCTCTTTGTTAAAACTTTTTAGGGCCCATTTGGGAGGGCTTCAACGTTGACTGAACTGTGTTGAATGTCAATCTATCAAAACTAACTTTATTGGAAAGTCAAATTTTCAGTTCAATGTAAGAGATATGAGCTTTTTGGGTTTTTTCACCAAACAAAGTTTTACGAGTTTCAAGGTGGGACCTACCTTGCAACACTAGAAACCATTGCATGAGAGCTCCTCCAAATGGGGCCTGTTTGGGAGGGCTTCTATGTCTTTTAGGTTGCTTTGGAAAAAGTTACCTAAGATAGTTTCGTCAGGGGAAAGTTGATTTTTTTTTGGCTAATGTAAGCCTATATTTGACCTTTTGTTTTTTTACCAAACATGGTTTAACGATTTTTTTGGGTTTCTCAGCTCATGTAACACTAGAAATTATTGCCAAAAAACCCTCCCAAACAAGCACTCAATAGTTTCTTTAAAGCAGTTCAACTAAAAATAGTGGAAGGCGATTTGACATTTGATAGCTCCAAGAATCTACCTCAAAAGTAAAGAAAAAAAAAAAAAAGGTTAAAGTGCATGAATCCAAATTTGCTAACCAGTGACCGCTAGCCATGTTCATAATCATCACATAGGGGAATATTTGCGATAAAAGTTACAAGCGTTGTTCTCACTTCTCAATGTGGGGCTGGATGAACTTGATCAGCAATTGCAATGTGTTGTGGTCAGCGGATCCAATCTCAACAAAAGAGGATCTTTGTCCCATTTCCTTTGGGCATCTCTTTTCCCTCTTTCCTCCGACATGTATTTTAGACTATCGTTTTCATTCCGTTCCACAATTAAAATATGCCTAATCATTGGACCAAAAAATCATATATTTTAAAGACAAACATACCCCTAACTTCGGACCTTCTGATTCCATACCTCCTTTCCTTTGTCAATCCAACATTATTATGACTTACCTCCTTTTAGCGGTTAAAAAGGAAATAAGTCTTGTTTTAGGTGTTTTGTAATTCCAAATTACAATTTTGTTTTATTTTCTTTTTATTTTTACCCGTGTTTAATAAAATTTAGGGAAAATGATTATTCAGTACGTCCTAAGAATTCTTAACCCTATAGCATTATTGGGGTAGGTACCAATTTGGATGGGTGGATATTAGTGTTTTAGGGTGAGGGTATTTGTCATTTTGAACTATACAGCCTTACAGTGGAATTCAGAATTCTGCATATATGGTGTATTGTATTTTTCCTTAAAATTTAGGTGTTTATGCTTAATGCTTAATATGTAGATTTATCATGAATATATTTGAGATTTACTAAAAAAAAAAAAACATCACGAATATGGGTATTCCTTATCATTTCAGACGGGATTGTTCCTCACAAATGAGCGTCTCACATACACATCCACATCCACATCTCCTCCTAGAAATAATAATTAATAAGAACGGGAGATGTTCCCAATAAATGATACGATGTGCGTGTGAGGCGCCAGGAGCAGATCTGGTATCTATCATTTCACATTATAGTTTCGTTCTCGTTAATCAGAATTCGGATGGGATTTCCACAGAAATGTTCCCACTTCCCAATGCACAATTGGGATTTGTAGTGGGGTGCGTTCTATGGGGGAACCGATCTGAGTCGTGCGTTGGGAACATCTCTCCATACTCCCATACCTATGTGGGATGTTCTGTGGGGAGCCCGTCCGAATTCCGTTTATCGAAATTAGATATGCTCTAATCAGAATCGTCACGATAGAGAGTCCGGAGTCTATGTGCCGCACAGAGGTTTTCGGTTATGGCCCGCACGACACGGGAGCACGGTACTGTCCAACTTTTCTCCGACTGTAACTGCTGCATGTTCCTTTATCTTTTTGCGGATTAATCTTTTTTCCTTTTTCTGCAATCTTTTTGCGAATTAATTTCTTCTGCACGATTCTCTTTTCTTTTTCGTCTTTGAGAAAAAAAAATTGGGTTTTTGTTATTCTTCTTCTTTCATCAAATTCCCCTGTTAGATAAACAGCGGGGTAATTCACTTGTGCTCTTTGTGGAAGAACTATTCGAGTATCAGAGTTTAGTTTTGAGTATTGTAGGTTCGATTGCTGACTTGCTCTCGCCTGATTGCTTGAAAAATATTATCGTTTGGTTGTCAGGAATTGTTATCTTCATATAAATTGATTATTGAGGGCTTGCAGCTCGTCTTCAAGGCATCAATCTTCTTACCTGAAGCTGGTTTACTAATTTCTCATGTTGGTATTGATTAAAAACGACATTATCGATTGGCATAAGTTGAGCGCTTGTAGCTGTTATGGAGTTTTTTGTTGTTTGTCTTGGAAGGGTCTTCTATTTGCTATTATGGAATCTCTCTCTCTCTCTCAGACACATACACGCGCGCACGGAGAAACAATATATTTCAAATATTGGGTCTGTTATCTTAACTGACATATTACTTTAATACTTTTGTGCTTGCAGAACTGAGCTCTATACCAAAATATAGGTAAACCGGTTGACCTTTTCAGAAGTGTTCACTTTTTAAAGCTAATAATGGTTCTGACATGAGAAGGTTCTTCGATCTAAGTACATTGTGTTTGTCAGAATTTGTAAGTTTTAGACCATGGCATTGGATGAGAAAGGTATGTAATCAAGATGGGCCATTTTCATTATGTTTTCTGTTGTATTCTTATGTATTTTTTTTTTTGCCTGATTGGTAGTGGAAACGTTATTAATCAAGAGAAAGCTTGAAACATCAAGTCCACATTTCCACCCATGGACGGCAGAGAAAGCAAGAAACTTCCCATAAAGGGAAGCAAACCATAACTAAGTAGAAGAAGCACTAGCCTGGCTATTGTCCAAAGAGTTTTGTGACATCCTCGTCCAACTGAATGAGATGTTCACTTTGGAAGTCAATGTTCTTGCATCTTACCAATAATATCAGAAGGTTTAACTTCCCTCGCTTCTATTTCTAAAGCACCATCCTCCATAACTTGGTCTGAAGCTCTGAACCAATGAAAGTCATCAACCTAACACCTTGTAGTAGGGCTTTTTTCTCCTCATTAACCAAATACATGATCTAATGCAACTTGGGGAAACCAAAAGAATCTCTCCTGTCACATCCTTGAAAACTTTGCCTACTTGTTATGGGTTTTGACCTTCACTACTCCTTGAGGGAGTTTTTCTTTTTCTTTTTCTTTTTTTTTTGGTAAGGAAAATTTCATTAATCAAAGACAAGGGAAGTTGATTACCAAAAGAAAAAAGACAAATGAAGTTGGGTTGGCTTCCCAGTTCCCACTAAGAATGACAAAAGGCTATACCAAGGAAAAACTCCACAACAAAGAAACACAAGAATTACGGAAAGGATGTATGAGTCTTGAGCAGGGAGCCAGGGACCCATAAGCAAGGCACCAGAAATCATCTTGGTTGTGGCAAACTGGCAACTTCTCTACAATAACACACCATAGATTGGAAGAATACCTGAAAAAACTCTTCCTCTTTTATTTCATACTATGCTTCTAATTTATATACTCTCATCACAACATGCCCTTAGAAACACTTAACCAACCGAAGCTATATGGCAACATGAAGGCATATATAATTACATATGCCTATTTTAAATAGTTATTAGATATCGTATATCATACTATTCTTAATAGTTACAAACATATAGTACTATTTTAAATAGTTAAAGATTTCACAAATAATACTATATCAAATAGTTAGGGATAAATTGAGAAAACCTTTAAAATCCTAGTTAATGCTTAGTCCCTAGCAATCACATCATGGGTATTGACTGAATACTTAATGATGCAGTAGGTATGGCCTTTAACTGACTAGTTGGTCAACTAATTTAGTTGATGCTTTAATGTCATAAACTGTTCCAGCACACTTGCCATGGGTATTGACTGAATACTGAATGATGCAATGGGTATGGTCCTTAACTGACTAGTTGGTCAACTAGCTTAGTTGATGCTTCAATGTCATAAACTGTTCCAGCTCACTTGCCATGTCTTGAAACTCTCCCAAACAGCCTAATGAATATGTATACGCTCCTACCAGTTTCCACTCCCTGATTCTAACCAAGAATAATGATAATTTGGTGATTGTAACTTTAAATTTTTAAAAAATGAGATGTGCATTACATGAGGTTCAAGTTTAAATAGATTTGGGATTCACTATATTTGGCTAAGGAATTAGGAACAAGGATTGATTAAAGATGCAATTGACATGAAAAATTTTATGTACCTATAAATGCAGTGGAAGGTGACTACGAAGTTGTGATATGCTGGATTAGGGATGGGGAGTGGGTCCATAACTTTGGCTGCATTTGGCTTAGCTTATTGATGGCTTATCTCTGCATGGAACATTTTAAACCTTATGGATAAAGTTAGCTTGGATGAGTAATAATGGTAAGATAGGTTCTTTAAAAGTTCAGGGATACTCTAGTTGTTTAAAGTTGTAAAATGGTAGTCCATGTATTTCGGAATAACTTATTAAGGCTCTAATGGTTATCAAAAGATACTTTACATTGTTTTGGAAGGGTATTTTGGCATTTCTTGTATATCATTGAAGTTGGAATTTTTAAATATGTGCTTTGAAACTCCATTCTGGATAAGGAGTTTAGGGGGATCCAACTTCAATGAAATATGTGCCACAAAATTTCCCTAATTTTTAGGTAATTTAGGGGCATCCAAGATGTGAGGAATATAAGATGGATCTTAGGGACTGTGGAAAGAATCACAGGGTTCAAAATCAATCTGGCAAAATGTCATTTGGTGGGTATTCAAATGGAGGATAGGGAGATAGGGAGTTGGAGGAATGCTCATCAACCTTGGGGTGTGAAATTAGACAGTTACTGATCAAATATTTAAGGTTACCTCTTGAGGGCAACCCTCAAGATATATTCTTTTGGGAGGTGGTGATTGAAAGATTTACTAAAAAATTGGTCAATTGGAAAAAAAAACTACATTTCTAACTGACCCTAATTAAATCCACTATGTCCAATTTCCCAATCTATTACTTATCTTCATTTAAAGCCCCAGTGAAAAGAAAAAACTCAGAGTAGAAGCAAAAACTTTTTTCCTAGAGGAAACGAGGATTAGGGGTTTGTTAGCCTTAAAAATCGGAGAACAAAAGAAGGCTACTGTCTTTCTTCTAGAAGAAGCTGTAGGTTGGTTTCTGAGTTGGATTCGTGGTGCCATTTTCTTGATCAGCAAAGGTTAGTTTTACCAATCATCATGTGAAATTTGAGTTTACAAACGGAGTAAACAGATACAACTAGAGTTGCAGGCCCCCAAAATCAGCCTTACAATTTAGCCCAAAATAACTGCTGCCTGTTTGCCCCCTGTTTAGCTAAAGTATCTGCCATGCCATTTGCAGTTCTTCTCACCCATTTAAGAGTAATGCTCAGTTCCCTTGTTATCATTTCAATTTCCCTAATCCTTTGCCTGTAAACCCGAGGGGTTTTACTGTGAAATTTTGTCCAGGAAACCACCACCTGAGAGTCCTCTTCCACTTCTAACCTTTGAAAGCCGAACTGTTTTGCAAGTTTCAGCCCTTGAAGCTGAGCCCTTAATTCTGCTGTCAGTGGATCCCCTTGCTCTACATGGCCTGAATAAAGTGCTAGTACCTCACCTTTTGTACCTCGAAATACACCCCCTAAACCAGCCCTTCATTTCACAAAAAACTTCTGTCAAAATTTAGTTTCACAGAATTAGGTGTTGGCGGTCTCCATTCCATAACAACCCTTTCTCTTGGGCCGAGTTTGCCACTTTCTTCCATGATCTTAAAATAGCATTGAAAGAGAAACCGTGGAAGATTTCCAAAGTTTTTACCCAATGTGCAGCTTTTATCTTTATGGCTTCTATGATTTCCGGCTCTAATCTACACCTTTCATTAAAAATCCTCCCATTCCTTTCTTCCCAAATGGTCCAAAACTCCAAATCAGTGCTGCTCTCATTGCTTTCCACAGAATCCTTTCTCTTTTCTTTGCCTGCCTCAGGAAGCTTGGATCAAAGAGACCCACCACATCCCGGGGAGGAGTCCATCTGCAGCCAAAAAGAGAACAGAAATGCTCCCAAACACAAAGTACAACGGTGCAGCGAATAAACAAATGGGAGATACTTTCTCCACTAGCTTTGCAAAGGCAACAAACATGTGGGGAAAGGCATTTATTTGACCTTCTCTTCTGCAGCAAGTCACAGGTATTTATCTTCCCAAGAAAGATCTCCCAGCAAAGGGCCTAAGTTTTTGGTGGGATTTGCTTGCTCCAAATCTCTTTTACCGGGAGGTTCAAACCCAATGTGGTAGGCTGAATTAGGTTGCTGAAAAAAGAAGCACAAGTGAAGATGCCATCAGTAGAAACTACCCAAACCCTTGTATCCTCTATGTTTTGGTCTAGGAAAATAGAGTCTAGTTTGGCCAAAAGGGTTATCAGAGGGTAATGCGGAGAATAACAAGAGTAGCCATCCTTTGGTCAATTTGGGAAGAGAAAAACAATAGGATCTTCCTAGGGCAAGAAAAATCCAAGGAAGCACTTGTGGAGATTGTCACCATCAAGGTTATGCATTAGCTGAAAGTACATCGTCTCTTCAAGGACTTCTCCTCAGCTGACTTAATTAGTAATTGGAGTGCTATAGCTATATCCTCACCTTCCGTCTCTGTGGTACAAGAATGTTGGGTACTGCCGCCTCAGTTCAGGCTGAAGTTAAACTTTGATGAAAGCTCCTTGGGTAATCCAGGTCAGTCAGGCGGGAGTTGGGGGTGTGTACAGCAACGAGGAAGGAAAAGTCTTGGCCCTTTACTCGGGCCCAATTGGGGTTGGAGATTCATTGAGGGCAGAAGTAATGGCCTTACTTAAAGGTTTGAACCTGGTGAAACAATGGGGAATGCAACAATTAGAAGTGGAAGGAGACTCCAAGCTGGTAATAGGGTGGATGCAAGCTGGAAACCTGGGAGTGTGGTCTCTTAGACAGCCTCTAAGAGAGATTATTAGCTTAGCGAGGGAGATTGGGGTGCATTTTAAATGGGTAAGAAGGTCAACAAATGGAATGACTGACACTTTAGCTAAGAAAGGAGTTACTAGGGAGGCTTTGTTTTGGGCCTGTTTGTAAGTTTTTGATTTTCTTTTTCCATCCATTTTGTGGGTAGTAAGCCTGTAATCTTTTCAATTCTCTAATGAAAGTTACCGTTTCCTATAAAAAAAGGGTTGTCAGAGACTCACATTCCAAGTCCCTAAGACCCCTTCTGAACCCAAAATCCCAGTTCAGCCCTGAGGTATTGAAAGTCACGAATTTTGAAATGGTCTCAGATTTATAGTTTGACAAAGTAAAATGTAAGGGGAATTGGGTCTTTAGAGGTTGTTCTCCCAGCAAGAGGTCTTCCCAAAATAAGACCTTGTTCCCGTTTCCCACATCAAATCAAGTATGGTTGAAGAAGGAAGGAATCACCTCTTGAATTGCTTTCCAGGGAGAAGATGATGGAGCATTAGGGGCTACTTTTGCATCCCAGCCATTGTCTGAATGCCCATGTATACTTACAATCACTTTGTGCCAGAAATTTGTTTGTGTTCTGGAAGGGTGGAGAAGTTCAGGGTGGGAAGAGCTGTCTTTTGTGATTCAGGATTTTCTCTTAAGCTTAGTGACCTGGGCTGTTGTTGTTGAAAAGGAACATAAACCCTTCAAAGCCTGCTCTTTGGCAGGGAGGTTCTCACTCGATTCAAGGACTCTTTTCCTCTTCTCTTGCTTCCCCCTGCTCTCCTCTGGCACTCCTTTTCTTTGTGCTAACTCTCCTGTACTTGGCTGTACAGATCCAGTCCTGGAAGCTACACCTGGTGTGGGTATTGGCTTGAGTGTGCCAAAAAAGCCAGAAGAAGGTGAGGGTTTGGATTTAGGGGAGGAGATTATGGATTTAGTCTTGGGAAACTTAGCTACCTTAATTGAGATGGAAGAGTTTGCTGAGAATAGAATGGAGAAACAGGAATTTACAATGAGTGTAGCAGAGAGAGAGGGGGATGTTTTTAAAAACATTGGTAGAGAAAGGAAGCCTAGTGAGCAATCTCAGGAGAAGGGGTGGACACCAAAAAGATCTAGAAAAGAGCTACATAACTCAAAGTCTACCTCAGGAAGGAAGGGTGTGGAGATAAAAAACAGGAAGAGGAAAATGAATGAAGTGGAGAAGTTTTCTTGTGGAGTATCTTATGAAAAGGTTGAAAGCAGAAAGAGGCAAACAAAGCGGAGACTAGGAGTTGGAAGTAGAAGGGGGGTACTAAAACTTAGTGAAATGAAGATTCTGTGCTGGAATGTAATGGGGTTAGGCAGTGCCAAAAAGAGGAGAGTTATAAGAAATGTATTGAGAAAAGAGAAACCAGAGATTGTAATGATTCAAGAAACAAAACTCTTGGATTTGGACAGAAGAGGAGAGTTATAAGAAATGTATTAAGAAAAGAGAAACCGGAGATTGTAATGATTCAAGAAACCAAACTCTTGGATTTTGACAGAAGAAGAATAAGGAGCATTTGACATTCTTTTTTTTTGATCAATAGCATTTGACATTCTTCATGGATGAATTGATTAAATATATTTAGGAGGTCCCATGGTGCTTGTTGTTTGCTGATGACTTAGCATTAATTGATGAAACTAAAGAATGATCAATGCAAAATTTTGGCCAAAAACTTTAGAAACAATAGGTTTTAGAATAAGTAGGATTAAAACAGTAATATAAATTTAATTATAAGGTAAATTACATACTACCACCCTGTACTTTGGGGGTAGTGACACTTAGCCCCTTGAACTTTCATTTGCAACAACGACTCCCTTGACCATTCAGATTTCAACATTTTTCCTTCTTTGTTAACTGGATTAACGGGGATTATAATTACCAAAATTCCCTTTTGAGAACCATAGGGGCGAAAGATGTCATTTCAAAATGATGAAAATGGGTAGGGCAAAGCAGCTGATCTAACCTTCATCTACAATGTGTTGATGGCTACATTGATCTGTGTTTTGCTCATTTGACTTTGGGAAAGAAGAACAAAACATATAAAGAGTTTTTTAAAGTATGTAAGAGAATGGGAAAATTATCTAATAAATTAAGGAAAAGGGTAGTTTAGGGATTTAGAAATGTTTAACAAGCATACGACAGTCAAATGAGAATCTTTTTTTCGGGGGAATATGTTATTGGCAGTGTTGTAATTCGGTGGTTGTGTTTAAACTCCGTACACTAAGGGTTGACAGCTGTATTTTGAAATCTCTTTAATTCTTTATTGAAGTTACTATTTCCAATAAAAAAGAGAAACTTTTTTCGAAGTTAACTGATGGAATTCTAATGGAAGGAGCAAAGTGTTGCAATCTTAAAGTTCAGGGGGGCTTTGTCGCAAATGAAAGTTCAGGGGTCTAAGTGTCATTACCCCCAAAGTACAGGATTCACAAAACCTGGGTTAGAGTCATTTCTGTTTTTAAAATTTATTTCTTTATGAGTGGAAGAGAATGTGACATAAAATGAAGTATTGGATTCACAAAACCTTCTGACTGGTGGTTCCTTGTAGGCGAGATTTTTACACATTGTCAATGAAATCAAGAGGTTTTAGATAATTTCCCTTCTTATTGTCATATAATAAGTTTCATTTTTGTCACAAGTATTTTTATATTTAATACATCTAGTAGTCAGATTAGTTATAACTATACAATTGATCTATTCATTGATATCTTGATGATAACTATAATTTTTCCTTCAGTTTTACTTAGAATATGTATTTGGGTTTTGTTTTAAATTTGTTTTATCATTCAGCGTAGGTGGTTGAACGATGTTTTACTTTTCTGACATTTTCTGATAGCATTCAAAATTTTATATGTTCTAATGGTTTCATTGGCTCTATGGAGAATTGTGGTTATTCTAGTCTCTGCTTCTCCAAATAAGTTCTTTTTCTGTTTGGATAGTTTTTGAGAATGAGAGACTGAAGTGTAAATAAACTATGTTATTCTGTGGCTAATTGGTACAGTATAGTAACTAGGTTGGAAACTTTGTTAAACCCTGTATGACTTGAGTTTGAATCCTTACCAACTACTGCTTACGGTTGCACCTGGTTACAGTCATGTTCCAACATGTCACAAGTTGATATTTAACCCAACATATGACAGTTCATTTTAATGCCTGCCTCTCTTGTTTGCTTTTTGTTGAATACTTTATTTTTTAGTGTAGTTTTGAATCCTACACTGTATCCTGCTATGCCCTTTCTGTATTTAGGTAATGTAGTTTATATATAACACCAGAACTATAATACAAGGACTACCCTACTTAGGTTCATAAGATTTTATAGATGAAGCTTACTAATTGGAATTTTAACATGCAACTCATTTCCTTTTTTTATGCTTTTTTTTTTTATTGTTTCGTTCTAGTCTTGTGCAAGAGAGCAAAAAAGCTTGAGTTACAAGAATCAGAAAAGTTCAGATTTACTCTTGCTCGTCTTTCTGCAATAGAGAGTTTTCTAAATGAAGTCTATGCGATGCTTCGTCCAAAACCTAGTGATTATCATAATCGGAGAGATTTGATTCGTATTTTCAACAGGATGGCAAAAGATACCTATGGTAACATTCTCTCTCTCTCTCTCTCTTTCTCTCTCCCTCCCTCCCTCCCTCTAAAATTAACCAGTAAATTTGTAGTAACCATTAGATGGGTAGAGCCTAACAATATCATTCCTTTTCCTGCTTTGGTAATGGTTTCAAGTATGCCAAACAAAGGAATAAAAAGAGTACAACAAACCTCATCCAATCATTTTTTTTTTGATAATTGAAATAATTTTATTAATCAGCAGTAGACAATAGTACAAAGTCCCCAAGGAAAGGTACGAGTTGCAACCTCGCCGGGCTAGTTTAGTACAGGTTTCCAAATTAATAACAACTTACAAAGAAGCACAAAAAAGATCTTCCCTAGAAACCCCTTGTTTGGCTAAAGCATTAGCCAAAGAATTAGTAGAGCTACTAACCCATTTTACCTCAACTCTCATATTGCTGGTTAACCATTTTACTTTTTTGATGAGATCTTTGTAGCCCCAAATGGTGGTATCCAAGTTTAGGAGCTACCTTGTTACCACCTGAGAGTCCCCTTCAACTAGGAGATGCTCCACCCCAAGCTGGTTGGCGATCTGAATTCCTTGTACTGGAGCAAGGATTTCTGCCCTTGTGGAACCCCCCACTCCCACCGGTCCTGAGAATAGGGAAATTATGTTGCTGTCCTTATTTCTCAAGATAATCCCTATACCTGAAGGCCCGGGGTTGCCTTGGTTGCTTCCATCAAAGTTCATCTTGATGACACCTTCCAAAGGTGGAACCCATTCTGACAGAATTCTATCCTTTTTTGTTGAAGTGTTAGTTATTACTAGCCGATTCCTCCACAAGTCATCAAAGATATCCACAGTTTTCAGCCAATGGATTGCTCTTGTTAGGATACAATCCTTCATTTCATCTAACCCTCTTTCCTTTAAGAAAATTCTTGCATTCCTTTCCTCCCAAAGAGTCCACAGAGTGGCTGCCTTGACACATTTCCACATGACCTTCTTCTAGTGTGCCAAACAAAGACAGATGGGTTGAATAACAAGCTTAAATTAGAAGGCATAGACCACCTACCTCCAAATAAACAAAGGCTCCACCTCCATATAGCTGTAGCAAAGGAACAGGAGAATACAACAATTTTTGTAAGTTTTCCAAAGTATTGATTTTCCCATAGAAGACTTTCCAGTAGAATACAACAATTTTTGGGGGAATAGGTCATGCCTAGACTTCTTTGACAGGGAATCCTTGGGAAATGGGGTTAGAACTGAGGGATTTTAGAAAAGAAGAGCAAGTAAAAGTACCTTTTGGAAGAGGAGTCCAAACCCTTTGATCAGAAGAAGTAGGGTCCAAGCAAACGGATTCTAGTAAGTGAATTAGCTCAATAACACAACTCGACTCACCATCCCTTAACCCTCTACGAAACCCAAAGTCCTAGTTTAGAGATAAGGGGTTTAACGGGCTCGTTAGAAAAGTTGCAATTGGCTCATGTTTGTGAAGGGAAAGGGAATAGAGCAAGGGGAAACAATCTTTGAGGGGTTGAGTACCCACCTAAATATCCTCCCAGAATAGAATAGCATTACCAGAACAAGCATCATACCTGATGAATCTGAGGAAGCGAGGGAGAATACCATGTATAGCCTTCCAAGGTGTAGTAAGGGTAGCTCGGTGAGATATCTCGGAATCCCAACCATTTCCTACACAACCATGAATGCTTGCCACCACCTCATGCCATAATCTCTCTCTCTCTCTCTCGGGGCCATCTCCATAGCCACTTCCCTAGAAGGGCKACWTTCTTYARYACTAYGTTYCMTATCCCTAAACCCCCTTCTTCCTTTGGTTTGTTAACTATCTCTCATCTGATATGTTCCCTATCCCTATTCCTAAACCTCATCCAATCATTTAGTATCATTGTTTTAGATAAAACCTGAGTGTAGAACCCTTTTAATGATCCAAAAAGCAACCAAGAAAAAAAAAAAAGAAAAGAAAACACTCCCAATATGAAGAAAGGAAACTTTAAACCAAAAAAAGCAGAAGCACTTATTCAGTATTCATTGTTTCAGTTTCTTGAACTACTAGGGCATTCTCTGGTTAAGTGGTCTTACTCCCCACAATTATAGCAACTCTCGCCACCAAATCAGCCTCCACCATACCTTCCACCATTGCCTCCACTTGCCTGATAACTTTCCCTTGAAAAGTGCCCCGTCTCGCTATAGTTGTAATAAATCCCATCACCACTACCTCCATAACCACCGCCACCGCCACTGTATCTCCCATTACCACCTCTTCCACCTTTACTACTACCCTTGTTAAAATCATATCCCCCACCACCATAACCAGTTAACCACTACAAAAGCTGTACCCACCACCACTGCATCCACCTCTACCACCACCACCGTAATCTCCTACTTCCTAGAATGTTATATCCATTGCGGCCAGTCACATCCACAACTTTTGTCCTCCCATCTTTGGAAGTATCAATCACAAATTCAACCTCCTCTAGATGACTTGATAGATGAAAAGATGGATGAAAAGATCTTTGCCACCATTGTTTGGGGTAATAAAACCAAGATCCTTCATTTTGTTGAACCATTTCACAACTCCTATCACTTTGGTACTTCCTTGAGCCCTATCACTTCAGTATTCATTGTTTCAGTTTATCAAAAGCCCTAAGCCCTAACACTAGAAACAAACCAAATATGAAATCCTAACACTAAGAGAACTAACGAAAGAAAGGACCAAGTAGAGAGTGACCGATCACTCACTCCTCCCTCTTTTCCTTCCCATTCTTTATCTCTTCTAACTTCTTTTCCACAATATAGAAAACTAATCCTTGCACTTCAATTTGGGTTCCACAATTATTGAAAATTTTCTTTGAAATCTTGCTATTTTAACCACTAGTGTGAAGCCGGAAGAGGTGCCTCAATCCATTGACGTATTCTTGAATGGAGTCTGGTTGAAGGTGTGGATCGCGTTGGAACATGAAGCATATGGTCGAGAGGTTGAAGATGAAGCTGACAAGGTAGGGGGAAGGCCATGTGGCAACCAAAGTTTGGAAGAACGTCTGGGGGTAGAATGGCTAGGCATGGAAGAAGTATCGACAGAGGAAAAGAGGAATAAATCTCTGTCCTCCGAAAGGTCAAAAATATTAAATGATGTTGGAAAGAGGAAAGTGGAGAATGAGAAAGGAAAGGGCAGGGTTCCTGTAAGATCGGATACTTTGGGTGACCTGACTAAGATAAATGGCTCGAGAAAATTTATTGGGTCGGGTCTTAGGGGTGAGTGCTCCAAACCAAGTGGGATTATGGAGACTTTTAGAAACTTGAAGGATAATCCCGACAAGTCTTCTTTTAGAATTGAAATACAAGATATTGAGGAGCCCCATTGCAATAAAGAGGGCTTCAACGCCTGCTCCAACTCTGTGCAGGCGGAGTCTGAGTTCAAACTCCTACAATAGGACAATAAGGAGGATGGGGAAGAATTGTTGGTCGCCAAGAATGGAAAGAAAGAAGGTCTAGAAAAGGATAGAGGGAGTGAGTGGCTGGGGGAGAGCAAGAAGTGGTAGTGGAAGGAAAAAACGTGGAATAAAATCCTCTATCCTTGCCAGGGAGGAACGAAAGCAGGGCCACTGAAGAGGGGGAGAACTTAAAGGGAGATGAGGGGATTGAGACTGAAGGTGCAAAGGAAACAAGAATTGTGGAAGAGATGTAGAGGAATAAAGGAGAAGGGGACAAATGTGTAGAAGGGAATGCAGGAGGGAAGAAGGATTTGGGAATTGAAGGAGAGGGAAGTAAAGGTGTAGAAGGTAAGAATGGGAGGGAGGCTAGAACATATAAAACGAAAAAGTATAGAACTTGCCCTTTAGAGGAGATTGGAGAGGAAGGGATGGAAGTGGATTCAGGGGAGGAAAATGAGTCTGAACTGATGATCGATGAGACCCAGTTGGTAGAATAGACTGCTAACATTGAGGAAGTGGTGAATAGGGGAGTGAAAGTTAGCAAAATATTGGGTCTGTTTTTTCTAGGAGGGGAGGAATTCGTAAAAGAAGCCTTTAGATCTGTGGAGGAAACATCTGGGAAGAATGAAGGCTTGACAGATCCAGCGGTTAATTCTAATTGCAATAACTCAACAAGGCAAGAGATGGGAGCGATTGCCGGAGGTTGCATGGATTTCATGGAGAGGCCAGGAGAAGTGGTTGAGGGGTTGGTGGTTGAAGACAGGGGTCAGAAGTCAGCAGGGAATCCTGAAGCAGCAGTGGGAAATCTAAACAGTCAGAAGATTCAGAAATCAAAGGAATAAAAGATCCCAACAACAGGTCCTAGTCTCTAAGGTTTTCATGAGGTTAAAGGGTGGACTATTCGGAATGGGACCTAACAAGCTCGTCAAAAAACCCAAAGGATCAGTCAAAACACAACAACAAAAATGTACTCAAAAAATTGAGAAAGATGCTTGAAGTGGCAAGTTGGGGTTTGGGTGTATTGCTTGGGTTTTTGTTGGGCATCGACCACCGGGCTGTTTTGATTTCTGGTTTATTTCGTCTTTTATACTGTATTATATTGTTATGGGTAAGGGACTTTCGTTAGTTGGGTCTTTTTAGTTTGATGGTTGATTTGTTTTTTTCTTTTTTTTGTTCTCATTGGGTTTTTGTTTGGGTTGGCCTTTCTTTTCGGGTGATTGCTTATCACCTTCCTCGTATCCTCTTTTATTTGTTTCAATAAATTTTCTGTTATCTTCAAAAAAAAAAGGTTTGGTTTTCCTATTTATTCTCTCCCCAACCAAGAAGATGTAGGTATGATCTGACAGTGGCCTAGGTAATGCCTCCTGACTCAGCCATGGGGATTGCTCTTCCCCTCTGTTAGTGAATAAAAACCTAGTGCCTGTTTAGGAGAGCTTCCAATGTAATGGCTTCTGGCAGTATATGAGCTGAGGAACCTGGAATGCCGTGAGGGTTTGGCAAAAACCCAAAAAGTCGAAAATAGGCTTATAGAAGCTGCAAAATTGACTTTTCGGTGAATGGTTGCTGGATATGGTATCAGAGAGCCTGTGTGATCAAGTGGTTTAGTGTTTGATCATTGTCACCCCCATTATAATTAATTAAATTTTAGCACAAGGTATGGGTGGGGCTATGTTTGTCCATGCTTCAAGTCCAATGGGCTTTTGTGTGAGGAGGTGTTAGGGAATAAAAACCTATTTAGGGACCTTAGCTAACAGCTTAAGCTTTTTGGTTGAAAGTTTGCTTGAGACACTCAACAAATACCAAATATCTTTTTAACTTGACAGGTGATGGATTCAACTGGTTGTTAGCCCATGTGAAGTATGACCTTCATAATGGTAGATCAATCCGTTTATACCTACCATCTGAATAAATACCTTCATTCCTGGTGTCACCCATGAACCTCGCTGCTTCTCATTTGGTAATCTGATGGTATTGGTATTGAAATCCTCCACATAACAATGCAACTCCCATTTACTCCTTATATCATTTGTACTCCCCTCTCTTCTTCGATCCCCCTCCTCACTTGGTTTGTATGCCCTTGTTACACATTGCATTTGAAGCTATCTGCCAATTCAGCCTCAATTGTTACTAAGAAATGAAGTAATCTGTCTCCAAGAAACCCAAACACATGTCTCTTATTGCTTGGATTGTGTCAGGGTTTTAGTGTAGCAGTGTTAGACCAAATACCATAATCCATGCTGAGGAGTCATTCCACTCACAAGAATCCTCATTTGTTTTGCTTCCTGAACATGCACTCCACTGATCTACCACTAGTTCCACTCGTTCATTTGCCAATCCCTCCTTTTGAGGATTTCTACCACACCCCCCTTAGATGAGACTTTGAATAAGCATAGTTCATTTATTAGCCTCTTCACCCTCATGTCATCTATTGGGTTCACACTTTTTTTTTCCATAATTAAGGTCCCACACTTCCTTTGGACTTTGGCTAGTCTTCAATTTAGTGAAGTTCTTCCAACTTTCCCTTGAAATGGATGACAAGTAAACTTTGAAGAAATTCTCTTCTCTCTACTCCTTGCTTCTCTGAATCTAGGAAGAACACCTTTCTCCATTTTCAAAAAGACATCCTCATCTTTGTAGTCCATGCCTTCAGTTGCAACATCTCCCGATAAGTTACAATGCCCCCTTTTCTACCTAAAACAGCTCTATCACTAGTACTTTAGTGATGGAGTACCAAATGAAGGAGACATTAAATAAGATAAAGAGGAGAAAGGCATTAGGATGGTATCTCAATAGAAGTTTGGAAAGGCATTGAGAGAGGTAGGCTTATTATGGTTAACTGAACTATTTAATAAGATAATAAATGTAAAGAAAGTGTTTGATGAATGAAAAAGACAATTATGGGCCTATATTTAGAAACAAAGGCGAAATACAAAATCGTAATAATTATCATGGTGATAAACACATGAACCACACTATGAAATTTCGGGAGAGAATAATTGAGCAAAGGTTATGATATGGAACAAGTATATTAGAAAACCAACATGAGCTTAAGCTAGGGAAATCAACCATGGAAGCCATCTTTTTATCAAGATGATAGATAGAAAAGTCTAGAGAGAAAAAGGGAGATTTTTCAATATGGTATTTGTTGATCTAAAGAAGCATATAATAGAGTCCCTAAATAGATAATATGTTGGATTTTGGAACAAAAGGAGTTTCTAATAGGTACATGGAACTAATCGAGTATATGTATGAGGGTTTAACAATCAATATCAGAGCATTTGTGGGATAGACATCAGATGATGATAATCATGATAGTTCCCTTGAGATCATCAGTCCAGTAGGACTTATTCCTTTGTCCAATCAGAAAATATAAAAGAAAAAGAGTTTGAAGTCGAAGAAAAGAGGAAAAAGCTGATATATAGAAATTTAATGCTCCGATGCCATTTTTTCAGCAATAGGTCAGTCAGAGGAATAAAAGAGATGAGAAAAAGGGCAGACTGTTATCCGAGTGATGACACCCATGGTCTTATTTATATTAAGAGTGTAAAGACACAATATACCATTTTTGTGCAGTTTTTGAGGGATTCACACCCTCCATAGCAATATAGTTATATTTCCACCTGTCAAAATTAAAGTGTAGAACTGAGTAAAAGGGTATAGATGCCCCTGTGGCCAGTACATTATATATTACAACAGCAATAATGTCAATAGTTTACTGTTGCTCATAAAATAAAAGGATTTGGTCCTTAAAGTCTTAGAAGATTCTACTTCATTTGGAAGATTCATTTGTTCCTTTCTTCTTATATGTGCCATGTGTCTGCATGAATAATGGCCTTCCAGTACACCTTGCTCCTAAACCCAAATCTCATCTTTCCATTGGCAAAATATATCTAGAATTCACCACAGCCATCAATTGTAGAACGCCCAGCACCAAGAAATGCCATAACTGTCTGGTTACTGCATTAGCTGATTCCCCTTTAAATAGATTATGCAGATCTGTGGAAGATGTAATGAGTGTAGTATACTCTTTCTCCACAAAAGTGTTTTTTTTTTAGATCAGCAATAAAAGATTTTGTTAACTTAGAGGAGAAAAAGTACAAAGGAGCTGGGAACTTCCCAGGCAATCTTTTCTGAATATGCCTCCATAGAATTTCCCATGCATAGAAGGAAATTTCAGGTGGAGTAGAAGAGAGCCAATGCCTCATCATTGGGTGGGATTGTAGATGCATTCTTTACTTTCATATTTACATATTATACAATTTATTCATGTGCTATTTTTTTCCTTACTCTTTCTTTGCCGCAGCTTTTTTTTTTCCTTCCATCTAGTTTTTCTTATTTTCTTTGTAACTTGCAGTTCTTGCATGTGAATTTAAATTTCATTTTCATTTATGTTTTCTTTCAGGTAGTCACAATGACTTTCCTATTGTGGAGCCATTTGGGTCTTTTTTAATGGATATGTTCAGTGCCAACAGTGATTTAGATTTATCCATTAATTTTAGTAATGATGCAGATCATCTCCAGAGAGACAAGAAGATTCAACACCTCAGGAAGTTTGCGAAAGTCCTTTATACTCTTCAACGTAATTACCTAACAGTAAACATTTTATATTAACTTTTCCATTTTGAAGTTTTTTTTATTGATGAAGAACCACTTGTTCTCTTTTGATCCTATGCTTTAGCAGTCCCACAATTGGAGATCTGCACTTAATTAAATTAAAGCTGAAATTTCAATTACCTTATGAATGGGGAAAAATTTGAAGCTTACTGAGTTTAGGGCTGGAGCCAAGATTGGGATGGGACTCAATTACAATTTATCCCAAACAATTGCTCCTTGTACCCCTTGCTTTGTCAAACAATCTGTCAGTCCATTGTCTATTCTCCTAATCCAGTTAAAAGTAGCTCCCACTTGTAATCTTATGCAATACCTTATCTTGTATATAGTGTTATAAGTAGCCACTTCTTCAATAAACGGTGTTGAAGAGGCGGCTCGTAATAGACCTATAAGTTTCTGTAACACTATGTACAAGATAATTGCAAAAGTTTTGGTTGGCTAATAGGCTTAAAAAGGTATTGCACAAGATTACATATCCCCAACAAAGTGCTTTTTTGGCTGGGAGAGCAATCATTGACAAAATTGCTCATGAGATCATCCACTATGTGAATTCTTTAAGTCCAGGGAAGGGATTATAGCAATTATATTGGATATGAGCAGGCTTATGATAAGGTCAAGTGAACTTCTATGGATAATGTCATGCAAAAGTTTGGCTTTGTGTCCTATAAGATTCTAATCAATGAATGATATTCTTGGAAGGATATTTGTCCCAGCAAGAGGCCTAAGGTAGGGAGGTTCTTTATCTCCCTGTCTGTTTTTCATTTGTTTTGAAGCTTCTCCATAAAATTTAATAATTTAATTCAAAAGAAAGATATCTATGGGGTTAAAATGTGTGGAGATTTGCAAGCCCCTATCACATGGGGGTCTGGGGATAAGAAATTGCAAATTCTTTAACTTAGCCTTATTAGGTAGTTGGCTTTGGAGGTTTGCTGCTGAGCCAGATAACCTATGGAGGAAGGTAATAGCCGAGAAACATGGACTAGACAATAGTGGTTTGGAAAGTGGTTCACCCTTGGTGACATAACGGGTGTAGTTTGTGGAAAGGAATCTACAGAGCTTCCACCATTTTCAGAAGTGGCATCATATTTCAAATAGGAGATGGAAGAAGGATCAGATTCTGCTTGGATCCTTGGACTGGGAAGAGCTCTCTTAAAGAGCTGTTTCCCACCTTGTACACTTTGGCAGTTGATAAGGAGGTGCTGGTAGCTCACTCTTTTGTTCTTGAGGGGTAATAGCATCTGCTGGACTCCTTTTAAAAGGGTCTTTAATGATTGGGAGATTCAACCTCTTAGCTCTTCTTCAGGCTTAGGCTTTAAATTTACAAACTCAGGATACAAGAGTGTGGAAAGGGAACAGATCAGGAGAGTTCTCAGTAAAATCCTTTTACAGCTTTTTAGTGAGAGGAAATGAAGTCTCTTTTCCTAGCCGGGCCATCTGGGGGACAGTGGCTCCCTCAAAAGTTAAATTTTTTGAATGGGTGGAAGCTTTAGAGAAATGCCTTTCCAAAGAGATGCTGGTGAGCGGAGGCTTTATCTGCAATGACCTGAGGTGCATCCTTTGTAGTGTGGAAACAGAATCAGTTAATCATCTGTTTTTACACTGCAAGTTTGTCTCAGAGTTTTGGAGCTACTTTATACAGATTCTGAAGTTAAGTTGGTGCATGCCTGCCTCAGTTAAAGCATGTTTAGAGGCATGGCATATACCAGGGATGACAAAGAAAGGAAAGGTTTGCTGGTCCTTCATTCCTTTGGAAATTCTCTGGGTTGTGTGGCTTGAAAGGAATAGTAGAATTTTTTATCACAAGGTCTCCTCTGAAGCCGAGGTCATCAACATGGTCATAGGGTTTGTTAGAAGTTGCTTGTCTATACATACAAATTTTAAAGATGATACATCTGATTGTACTTTTTTGAGGATGGCCTTTTTTTGAGGTCCTTCTGGCTTGTTTTTTGTACAGCTTCTCATTGTACAAAGGACCTTTTGATTAATACAAATATACTCAACCTTTGCTCAAAAAAAAGTGTGGAGATTGCCCTACCATATCTTACCTCTTTTTAATGATGATAGCTATGTCTTTGTAAGTGCAAATATTAAAGAAGGTCTCATCTTGTTGGATACAATCAATGAGTATGGAGCTGCATTTGGCCAACATGCGAACTCATCCAAATCTTAGGTTTTTTTAGTAGGAAATATACACAACTTGCAAAAATAGTTCCCAGAACCATTGTGATTAGGAGAGTGGAGTAACCAAATATTTATTTTTGCTTGTGAAGCTTAAAAGGTTGCAAGATGGTTTTGTGTGGGTTTTAACAAATGTCTATGGTCCCAACATACATTCTAGAACCTCTTGACACAAATGGACTTCATGAGAATCAATGACAGCAGTATGGTTGTTGGGCACAGGTAGTGTATCTAGAGAGTATAAATTCTGTCACAACTCACAAGAAGTTCTATAAGGGTTTCACATGTTCAGCAACTACACTTCAATGATATTAGTAACCGAATTTGTATTTACAATGCTTTCAGCACCCCATATACAAGTGTTTCTAAAGCTGACACCCTGTTTTTTTGATCAGTGAATATTCAGATTTATTAAATCAAAGTCAAAGATAGTACAACTTAGGGAGAGGCACGAGATGCTACCTCCCCTTTAAAGAGGGGAGATGGAAGAAACCATCAACCCTTTAGATAAAGAACATAACAAAGGAAAAAAAAAATTACAATGAAGCCCAATACAATGAAACCCGAATAGCTCCTTGTTTAGCAAGATAATCAGCCAAGGCATTAGCCGTGTTCAATGAAAATTTCTAAAGCTGACACCCTACTATAATTGCGATGCCATTTGAGAAGAGAGGAATGCCGTGTTCAATGAGAAGACTCGCTATAAAGAAGCCATTGCAAAAAAACATCACTATCAAGGTAGCACATTTGGTGCAGGACATTTTTGCACCCATTACTACAAATGATATCACTGAGAATGTGGCATTACCCTCAGAAAAATATTATTCATCCATACGATGGAGCCATCCATCTTAAAATTTTATTGGGATGAATTTTGATGGCTATAGCATGGGGGAACTGGGGAGTTGGAATTTGGAAGAGTATTCAGAAATTGGGAAGGAAACATCTTTGCCTTGATCTCTGGACCTGATTGGTATGGAGATTTGATTTGTGCAGAACTGTGAGCAGTCCTAAAAGTAACAAGGATGGCAAAATACCTAAATTATAGAGACTGGTTGAAGAAGAAGCACAGGTAATTGTCAGCGGGATAAGAAGGAATATTGTTGGGTCTTGTAAGTATGGACATAATCTAAGGGAGATCAAGAAGCTGGCATGGGAACTACGATCAGGTTACAGATGTGTACTATGATCAGCCAAAAGCATTTCTGGTCAGTTAGTAAAACAAGGGTGATCAGACCTCACATATATTGGGGTGTAATGCCCAAGGGGGGACCTATAAAAGAAAAATGGATTGTGGTGGTTAGCCATGGCTAACTACCTTAAAGGAGTGCTAGACATACCACTTACGTATATAATTTTCATACATTTCTTAATAAAATCTTTAACAGTTCCTGATCTTAAAATTGAAGAAATGTAGGAAATCTACAGGTTTAATGATCAAGTAGTCTAGTCCCCTTTGGAAGAGGAACTACATCTCAATGGAACCGGTGGTAGAGAGATCGACTAAAAGGTTGGCTCTTGGAAGAGGAACTACATCACAATGGATGGGAGAATAACTTTGATTAGAGCAACTTTGGCTAACTTACCCTTTTACTTCCTTTCAACCTTCAAGATTCCAATTAGGATAGCAGCAGGACGATTAGAGAAGCTCATGAGGGATTTCCTTTGGGAGCCTGGGGATGAGAAGAGAGATCATCTAGTGAAGTGGGAACAGATTATTAAAACAAAGGAGTAGGGAGGGCCTGGAATAAGGAACTTAACTCGTAGGAATACGTCTTTGCTAGGAAAATGGGTTTGGAGGTTTCTTTTGGAAAGGGATAGGCTGTGGCATAAGGTAATTGAAATCATTCATGGGATGATGAAAAATGACTGGGATGCAAAGGTAGCCCCCTTATTCAACTTAAATTTCTTGGAAATCAATTCAAGAGGTTTACCCAACTTTTATCAATTTGACCATATTTGAGGTGGACGTGGGATTAGAGTTTTGTTTTGGTAAGACCTATGGTTGGCTCAAACTCCATTCAGTTCTGTTTCCCTAGCCTTTATTACTTGTCAAGCTATAGGCTATAACCTATTTCAAGATGTGTGCCTTCTCTCCTTAGTTAAATTGGGATTTTTGGCTTTAGAAGGAGATTGAGGGATAATGAGTGTGAGACCCTTATTCAATTGTCGGACAAGCTTAAGCCATTTTTTTTAGTTCAAACTATGGAGGACACTACAATTTGGTCTTCTTCTCCTATTTGTCCACTACAATGTGCTTGGTCCTCTCATGTAGGACAGGATTGCTGGCGATGTTAATAACTGCCTTGTTGTCATAGTAAAGAGACATAGGATTTTGAACAGCAACTCCAAGCTCCCCTAGAAGTTTTTTTAGCCAAAGAATTTCAGCCACCCCATGTGCCATAGCTCTATACTCCGCTTTAGTACTTGACCTTGCTACCACACTTTGTTTCTTGCTTTTCTAGGTCACTAGGTTTCCTCCCACAAATGTGCAATACCCACTTGTGGACTTTCTGTCATCCATAACACCTGCCCAATCAACATCTGTAAAGACTTCCACCTTTAGATGATTATGCTTACTGAATAGTAGACTTGTTCTTGGATACTTTTTTAAGTATCTAAGAACTCTCTCTACTGCCTCCAAGTGAGGTTTCTTAGGTGAGTGCATAAATTGGCTTAGGACTCCAACTGAATAGGCAATGTTTGGACGAGTCATGGACAAATAAATCAACTTCCCCACTAACCTTTGGAACTGTTTTACATCTTTCAGAGGTTCACCAACACAACTAC